AGTGGCTGTCAAGCAGTCAGTAAGCATTTACTAAGTACTTTATATGTGCCAGGGGCTGTACCAAGAACTTGAGATACAAAGAAAAGGGGGGGAAAATTCCTTCCCTCAAGGAGCATATATTCTAATGGGGGGGATGACAACATGTTAAATAACAAGGACATACAAAATATATAAAGGATAGAGCGTACTCTCAAAGGGAAGGTCCTTTGCAGTAGATTAAGATTTGAGCTGAATCTTGAACAAAGCCAAGAGGTGGACAAGAGCCAGCACAGTGGTACTGGGGAGGGTAAATGGAGAGGAGGGTGGAGGTAGAGTGTCCTGTGAAAGGAACAGCAGTAGGCCCCAGGTAACTGAATTGTAGTGTAGAGAGAAGTACAAGAAACCTGGAAGGGCAAGAAGGGGCCTGGTTATAAGAACTTTAAATGCTAAATATAGGAATTTGTATACAATGCTTGTTTATATTTGAATTTGTTGAGTAGGGAGTGACATGGGTTGGCACCTGAGTAGAGGATAGATTGGAATAGGGAAAGCCTTGAGTCTAGAAGACCACTTAGAAGGCTGTTGTAATATGGAAGACTGTGTTAACCTGGGCAGAGCACTTCCCCTTTAATGCTCTAGACAGTTCTCTAAGGCTGTTAAGTTTGAGAGAAAGTGCCTGCATTGATTGAAGGTGTTTCCTCACTTGGGAGTTCACCATACCAATTAAAATCACAGGTCCAGTCCCTACTACTGTTCCCATACACTTAAGTGCTAAGTGGTATAATATAAACTATTCTTTTCCCTTGGACATCTTCAGTCTTTCTACTGCCTCCTTCCCCTCCACCTACAAATATTCTCGTGTCCTTTAAAAAAAACCCTTCCCTTGACCTTGCCCCACTCTCATATTATGAGCCCATCTCTCTCCTCCCTTTCACTGTCTTCTTTGCTGATTGCTCAGCACTTTGCAATCAGACTTCTTCCACAACTCTACTCAACATTTTCCAAGATCTCTAATGATAGGTAACATATAACAATTCCAATCTAGTGGCTTCTCTTTGTCATATTTCATGACTCACTCTGGCACTTGGCACTTGAATCACCCCTCCATTCTGTATACTCTCTGTTCTCAGCTACGTTGATATCCTCTTGGTTCTTTCTACCTCTTTGACCATACCTACTCTGACTTCTGACCCTCTTCTGTCTTAAACATGAGTATCTCCTAAGGCTTTTTCCTTAGCTCCCCTCTCTATATATTCTGTCCCTTATCAATCTCATCAGGTGCCATTCTTTCAACAGTTACCTTTATGAAGATGTTTAAACTTTGTATTTCCTTTTGCTCTGGCACACAACTGGTACTTAATAAGTATTTACTATTGATGATTGTGTGAAGGACTCCTAAACCTTTAATTTCACTCCTAGACTTTTTCTAGAATTCTAATTCCTAATTTCCAGCTGACTGATGAATTACACTCTACCTTGGTGACTTCTTGTCAAACCAAGCTTACCATATCCAATGTTGAACTCACCAATTCCCTTCCAGAGGCCAATAAAACCAAAAAATCCAAACAATCATTTCTCTGTCCTTGTTGATGGTACTACTATCCTCCCAATGCTCCAAGCTCGTACCTCAGTGTCTGAGATTCTACCACATGTCCAGTCATTTGCCAATTTCTGTCATTTTCACCTCTGCAGTATCTTTCATATACATTCTGTCCACTCAAATCCACTGTAACCACCCTAATTCTCATACGGACTATTGATTAGCCTTCTAATTGGCCTTCTTGCCTGCCCTGTTTCCCAGTATATCTTTCTGAACCTTTTCTTCATACCACATCAATTTAACAAATACTTAAGTGCCTACTATATTACTGCCTAAATTATCTTCTAATAACCTCTCTAATCATTTCACTAATTAATTCAATAACTTTCAGTGAGTCATCATTGTCTATGGAATGAAGTATAAATGATCCTGACTCATCCTTTAAGCTACCTTCTGGCACTTAATAAATGCTTAATGATTGATTGTTATCTGTTCCTTTAATGGAATCCCTTCTACTTTATTGAAATTCTTCATATCAAAACCCAGTGCATGTATTACCTCAAGACAGCCTTTTCAATCCCCTGTTGTCAGGACTTGTCATTTGAACATACCTTAGCCTCCCTTGTAACATGGTATCCAAGTGTCTCTCCTCATGCACCCCCAGTTAGATTGAAAGTTGCTTGAGAATAGGGTCTCTGATGTACATATCCCTGTATCCTTAGAACGGTATCTTCCACAGAGTGGGCACTTA